CTCACCACTCTCCAGGCCCCAGTTCAAACCTGACCCTGCCGCTGACAAGGGAGTTGCTCTAAGTGAGGGAGCCAATCCCTCTAGACTTGTTTTCTCATCTATCAAAGGTGAACCACGACACCAGTCCTGCTGGTGTCAATGACAAGGCAGGTTGTGAGCGCAGCGCTCACCCCAGTCGCTGGCACTCAGCAATAGCACCCTTCTTGTTGAGTGCTTCAAAAAGTTGGCGGGGAAATAGAAGTCGGAGATCATAAACTCTCCCCACGAGTTTCTGGAAGACTGCTTGATACAGCTCAGGTAGGACAGGAGCCCAGCGATCAAGCAGCTGCCATGCTGCCCTAGAAAGTGGCACCTGTAGAAGAACGTGGAAGGTGTGGTGGCAATGGCCACCGAGGTGCAGACCCCGGAGTGGCCAGGAAGAGGTGATAGGAGTTGTATTTTCCCGGATGCCAGGGACGGTAAAACCGGCCAGGATTGAGCAGCACCACGGAAGGCAGGCTATGGGGGTCCCTCCGTGGAACTGGGCACTGTGGTTTGTACATTACACATGCACCCACGGTGCTTTCTCACGGAGCACAAGCCCACCTCAAACTGCAGCTCCTGATCTCCCCCCTCTGAAGACCTCTCTTACCTTGATCCTCGGCTATCCAACCCCAGCGGTGCACCAGAGAACACTGTGGGGGTGACCCTTGGCAGCCTGAGCCTGTGGAAGGCTAATAGCAGTTTCTACAATAACGCTGTAAAAAATGGTGTCCTGCAAGATCTCACGTCCTAAAATAGCAGGCCTCTGGGAACAGGTAGGGGGAGCGAGAGGCCACGCACAACCCACAGCATGCTGTGACTGAAGCACCGCAACAGACACCTGTCACTGAAACGTGACCGCACGAGGTGCGGCTCCACGGCTGCCCCCACGCACGCCTGCAGCCCCGCTTCTCCACCAGAAGTTAAGACCCGACCCAGGGTGGAACCCTCCCCGCACACTGTGTCTAAAACAACGGGGAGGCCTGTCTTCCTTTTTCACTCTGGGCAGCCTGATGCAGGGGCAGGCCAGCAGGGATTCCTGGAGCTGCCAAAGCAGCCGTTCCCTGCAAGACAGGCTCTACGGATTTTCAGGGTTTGCTCTGATTTTTCCCCAAAGTATTCAACTTTGTCCTTCATGAACTGGAAACACTCGTGAGGAACGGCCTCCAGGACCCAGCCAAAAGGGTTGCCTTGGCACCCTTTCTCTGCTTCGACAGCAGACTGGCAATTTCTGTTAGACAAACACCTGACAGCGGCATTTACACACACACACACACAGCTCACTCCCACCCCCACATGCCCTGTCCTGGGGCTCACAGCCTACAGGCACCCCTGGGCCCATGCAATGGGCCAGCCTCACTCCAGGGGCATCTCCCACAGGAACTAGGGCTGCATAAGCACCCGCAGAAGGGACAGGATGGAGAGGGCCACCAGGGCGAGGCACACCTCCACACCGGGCAGAGCAGTTCCCCTGCCGCTGTGTGACAACACGAGGCTCCATCCAACTCAGAAATGTCATGCCGGAGCTTCCCAGACCACAATCTCTTGCTGTCTTGGAGGGCAGCAGGGGGAGCTTGGTGTCGCCCAGGACTGCCGTCTACTCAGGGAACCCTTGGTCTGGGCACCGAGTGAGATAAGCCTGAGACCTTCCATCTTCTCTCATCATGCAGAAGTGTGCAGTGAGCATGTGCCAAGAACTGGCACAGGGACAACGGTGACCCAGCATGCCAGGCGGGTAGCCAAGAGCTCCAGCAGAGGCACAGGACCAGGGTTCTCGTGGCCGACGACCCTGTCACCACCCAGCCGTGACTGCTCCATTGGAACACAGGAGCAGAGGCTGCGTCTGCTGACCGCACCTGACAGTCGGAAACAGGAGCCTGGAGGTGCAGTGGCTACGTGTGCTGCCAGGAACAGAAAGGGTGGGAGTAGCAGCCCTCCAGCCAGTGTGTGGGAGAAAGAGCTGGCAGTCTGTTTCCCCATGGTTACAGCTTGACAGCCTAGACATCGTAAAGAACTAGAGAGAAAATTTCAAAGGGCAGCTTGAGAAGACAAAGCCAAATAATATAACAAAATGTACAAAGACCTAGAGTTAGAAAATAAAAAAAGAGAAATAGGCTCCGCCTATCTTAAATGGAAACAGTTGAAGAAAACATGCAAGCCTAGAGTTGTAAGACTGAAATATTCTAAGGGCAAAATATTGAATGATGCAGGGAGCACCAAAAGAAGATAGAGCGTATGCACAGTCACCGGGCCAAAAAGGAACTAGTCGACATTCAATCCTTTCAGGAGGCAGCATATGAGCCAGAGCCAATGATACTGAATGAAGAAGTCCAAGCATCACTGAGAACATTAGCCAAAAACAAGGTTCCAGGAATTAATGGAATACCAACTGAAACGTTTCAACAAGCGGAAGCACTCACTCATCTAAGCCAGGAAATGACCCATAGTGGACCAAGGCTCAATGCATAGAACAGCATCATTCATATCACGGTGGCAGCAGTACATTGACACAGAGCTTCCAAAGGTCCAGGCCTTATTCAGAAGAGGACATGAAACAAGGAGTATCACTGCCGACAGCAGACGGATGTTGGCTGAAGAGATACCACCAGGAAGACAGTTAACATAGGTTTCATTGACTGCTAAGGCATGGGACTGTGCAAATCCTAACAAACTAGTTAGCTCTGAGAACAGGAACCCCCGACACTACACTGTGCTCACACGGAAAGCGTTCATGGCTCAAAGAGCCGTGTGCGAACAAAAGGGCATATTGTGGGTTCAAAATCAGACAAGATGTGCGACAGGGTTACCCTTGTAAGTTACGATGAGACACACCATACTTATAAAATCTGTACGCTGAACAAATAATCAGAGAAGCGAGACTATATGAACAGGGGTGGAGGAAGGCATATGACCCACCTGTGACACGCAGATGCTGCAGGTGACGAGGACTGGAAGCACTTGGCGATGAGTATCAAGGATGGCAGGATGACAGCTCAATGTCAAGAACCAAGCCCCTCACAACTGGACCAGTAGGTAACATCACAATCAATGGAGAAAAGATTGAAGTTGCCAAGGATTTCATCTTGCTTGGATCCACAATCAACACTCCACAAGTATTGGAAGCGGCAGTCAAGAGATTAAAAGACACCTTGCAGTGGGCAAACCTGCTGCACAAGACCTTTAAAGTGTTGAAAAGCAAGGACGTTACACTTTGAGGACTAAGGTGCACCTGACCCAAGTCTTGGTACTTTCAACGGCCTCCTATGCATGTGAAAGACGGGCACTGACTAAGGACGAGGAAGAGTCGATGCATTTGAATGATGGTGCTGGCAAAGAATACTGGAAGTACCACGGACTGCCAAAAGAACAAACAAAGCTGTCTTCCTAAATGCACAGCCAGAATGCTCCTTGGAGGCAAGGATGGTGAGACTTTGTCTTGCACACTGTGGCCATGTTGTCAGGAGACCAGTCCCTGGAGAAGGACGCCATGCTTGGTAGTTAGAGGGCCCTCGAGGAGGTAGATCAGCACAGTGGCTGCCACAATGGGTTCAGACAGGAACAATGGTGAGGAAGGGCCATGAGCAGGCCGTGTTTTGTTCTGCGGCGTAGGGTCCCTGGAGTCAGAATCAGCGCAAGGCCCTGACAGTGGACTCGTGCTACTCTGTCCTATGGCTGCTCTGTATCTGCAGCACCTGGACAGCAGTGGGTTTCAAAACAGCTGACAGATGACAAACTTCTTGTAAAATATCAAACGCTTAGAGAGAGGGAAAAACAAAGGTATTTCCAGGCTGGATACCCCTCATATCAAGTAGACAGGAGAAAACAAGACAGAAAATGGCCAAGAAACTTTCCCGGAGCTGTAGGCTTCTCAAAGGTGAGCTCGCTAGCTCTGTTCTTCCGAGCCCAGTAAGCCAGTAGTGGATTCACGGTCAAATAATGTACATGTAAATATATTTACATATAGGGATGAGAGAGAAATAGATCTATGTACATATATTTATAGGTTTGGTATTAAGGTAGCATACAGACATTGGGTCTCCACTCAAGTACTCCCTCAACACAAGAACACTTTGTTTTAATAACCTGGCAATCCATGATGCTCACCTTCCCAACAGGATCACTAAAGAGAAAATGGGTACATAAGCAAATGTGGTGAAGAAAGCTATCAAAAGATATAGCGTCTGGGATGTTAAAGACTTGAAGGTAAAGAAGCAGCCATCTAGCCCAGAAGGAACAAAGCCCACATGGAAGAAGCACACCAGCCTGTGAGATCATGAGGTGTCAATGGGATCAGGCATCAAAGACCCAGAACAAAAAAAAAATCCTGTCAGTGAATATGGGGGCAGTGCAGAGTGAGACCCAAAGTCCATCTGTAGACAACTGGACATCCTCTTACAGAAGGGTCACAAGGAAGAGACAAGTCAGTCAGGGTGCAGTGTAGCACCGATGAAGCATACAACTTTCCTCTGATTCTTTAATGCTTTTCCCTTGCCCCCCACTATCATGACCCCAATTCTACCTTACAATCTGGCCAGACCAGAGGATATACAGTGCTACAAATAAGAGCCCTTTACACAGGGAACCCAGGACAGATAAACTCCTCGGGATCAATATTGACAGTAGCAATACCAGGAGGGTGAGGAGAAGGTGGGGAGAGAAAAGGGGAACTGATCACAATGATCTACATATAACCCACTCCAAGAGGGGTGGACAACAGAAAAGTGGGTGAAGGTCAGTGTAAGACATAAAAAAAAAAAATAATAATAGTGCATAAATTATGAAGGGTTCATGGAGGGAAAGGGAAAAAATGAGGAGCTGATACCAAGGGCTCCAATAGAAAGAAAATGTTTTGATTCATGGTAAAATATTGCAATGCTCAATTTTCAGGTTGGGGAAAAAACAGAAGGGCACCCCAAGAAATGGCTGCCTTCATTGGGAGAAACCCAGTTTTCTCCAAAGGGCATTTGAGCACAGACCCACACAGTAACAAATCTGTTTATTTTTCAGCCAGTTGGTGACCACACCAAGTCCTGAGTACCAATCCTAGACATGCTTGAGCTCTGTCCACAGTGGCTCAGCCAGTCATAAGTCCAAAAGAAACCTGCTAACCTGGGCCAGGTATTTGGGTTTCAAATAGTTACCCAGCTCCTCCTTGCAGACCCACGCGTGCTGGCTCTGCTTTGGGGGCTGGGGAAAGTCTCCAGTTTGCAGGAGTGCCTTGAAGAAGAAGATTTTGGCCCCAAGGTTGCTCTCTGTCCGCACTGCCTGAGGGAACTTGAACTTGTAGTGACCACAAGGTGCATTTCCTAGGAATTTGGCTTCAATGTTGTTTTCTGAGTGAAAAAAAAAAAAAAGAGCAAACATACACAGGTTGACTACTCGGCGAATGAGGACTAGGTTCCTCCCAGTAAAGAGCCTCCTCCCTCTCCATGCACACACAGTCCCTTCCGCCCTCAGTGTCAGGCCCACTGCGTGCAGATTGGCAGGCATGAACACAGATTAGACAACCCCACTCCAGGAATCAGAGCTCTTGATGATGAAAAACAGGGCATAACATTTTAAAAAATAAATAAATAAAAAGGCAGCTCCGATTTGACAACATAAAACGTCTGCATGAAACGGCACAAACCAAAATAAAAAGCCAAAAAAGATGGGGGGTGGGGGTGGGGTAATAACTACAATGTACAATACTGAGTTAATAGGCCCAATGGGAAAAGTATGGCTGGCATAAGTGTGAAAAACTGGCTAGCTACATATGAAAAACTAAGCTGGATCCCATCTATTTTCACATCAAAATCGGTATCATAGGGAGCCCTGTAGCACAGGCTACGATGGGGGCTGCTCACAACGGCAAGGTCAGCAGTTCAAAACCACCAGCAGCTCCACAGGAGAAAGATGAGGCTTTCTACTCCTCCAAAGAGTTAGTTTCAGAAACCCACAGGGGCAGTTCTACACCTATCCTATAGGGTTTGTTTGTTTGTCTGTTTGTTTCTTTAATAGAACAAGGATTTCATAACAAAAATCCTAAAGACTTGCTCATTCTGGGTGGTGATGTGCCAGGTGTTTAATGTCTTCTAAATTTGTATTTTAAATGTTTTCATTAATTTTTTTTTCAAAGAAGAAAATGTGGAACAGGCCTGTCTAATTAAAATACAAAACTCCAAAAACACCAGAATGAAAGACTTACACTTGTTTACATAAAACTCCGACCTTTCTGCAAAGATAGAAAACCATGCAGTAGGAATAATACTTTTCAAGATGATTACAAATTAATGAGAGGGAGAAAAACAAAAAACAAATCCAAAGCAAAAATGAACCGAGTCCATGAATAGGAAATTCATCTGAAAAGAAATAACAACAGCTTATAAACTAATACAAATTAAAATCATACTGGCAAGCTATTTTCCAGCTATCAGATTAAGAGCTCAAAAAAGCTTAAAGTAAGATTCAGAATGTTTGAGCTGCACGCTGTTTCTAAGAAACGAGGGAAAGCCAGTGCCCTCGCACATAGGGTGGGGTGTGCACTCGATGCTCGTGGCAGGAGCTGCCGGTGTGAATCGCGCATGTCCTCTGAGCTAGCAACTCCACTCCCAAATACACCCTGTGAGCACACGAGTCTACATGAATATGCAGGGCAGCAGGCTAAGCAAATTCACTCTCTGACCCAGATTAGACCAGTTAGAACTGCCCCTGTGAGCCTCCAAGGATGTAACTCTTCACAGGAGGAGAGCCCGACTTTTCCTGCAAGCAAATTACAGGACGCTTATTGTTATGAAATAATATGCGTCTGCCAAAAAATTGGAGATAGATCATTATGTGCTATCTCTAAAAAGAAATGTTAAGTGCGATTTCAGGGGAAAGAACGTGACGTACACCCCCTGCCCCAGCCTGAAACAGTCCGCCTGAGTGCTCCGACGGGAGCCTGGGAACTGAGTGGAGACAGAGCTCACCGGAGAGTGTGGTCAGGACTCGCTCAGCTGTTCCCCGGAGGGTCTCCCCGGGCTGCCACTCTGCCTGGGGCAGCATCCAGATATCCTGGTCTCCGAGCTTCTCTTTGACTAGCAGGATAAGGTTCCTGTCTAGCTTCCGATGCAGTGAGCTCTGGTCATTCTTCGTATCAGCTTCTACGAAGAAAAGGGCGGCATAGCAGGTGAGGAGACGGGGATCTGCCAGAATGACCAGCATCCTGTAGCCTTCCTTTTAGGTACAGCCACAACCCTACCCTCAGACACCTGATAATCTAATTACAAGCCTGGCCCATCTCCCTAACCTTGACGCTTGTGTGGTAAGGGGGAAAACTAAGAGCTCAACTTCTCTTTTTAAAGCAAAACCAAGAGTACTTTGAGCCTTTGTCAAAGCAGCAGCGTCCATGCTTATTTAACTACTATCTTACTCATTCTAACATGCTTCTTGACTTAACGTCCAGTTCTCCAGGCTAGGGATCAAGGACTTTAACCTCGTTTCATCTAAAGGACTTAATTTGTCAATTCCAAATTACCATATATACTTGAGTATAAGCCTACCCGATTATCAGCTGAGGCACCTAATTTTACCACAAAAACTGCATTAAAAATGTGCTGAAAAACTTGGCTTATAGGTGAGTATATATGGTAAGAATCTCTGGGTTGTGCATTCGGCTGCAAACCAAAAGGTCAGCAGCTCAAAGCCACCAGCTGCTCCACAGAAGATGAGGCCTTCCCGTCCCATAACAATTTAGTCTTGGAAACCCACAGGGATAGTTCCACTCTGCCCTATAGGTCACTACAAGTCAGAATCAACTGGATGGCAATGTGTTTGGTTTGGTTGTAGGATCCCAAATTAGGAGATAAACCCAGGGAGCATGCTCCAAGATTAACAAGGCGAGAAAGAACTATCCCAGCACCTTCCCCTCCCAATCAAAATAATGCCACCCTTCAAAATATTTTATTAGGACAGGTGTGAGGAACAGAGTAAGGGGATTCTTTTTCTCTCACCCAAGTTTGTCACTGGAATCTGTCTGTCACTTAAGCACCAAGCAGGGACTACCCAGCTGCTCTTCAGTGGGGACACCACTCTTCCCTTCCCTCCCTCCCCTGGCCTGACAGGGGCCATACCTGTTATGCGAGCTCCGGGTTTGAACTGCAAGGATGTCTGCTCCCACATATCTTCCAAATCCTGCACCAGCAGTATCTCCTGGTCATCCTCATCGTAGAGGTCGGCTTTCTTCTTTGCCAGTCGCTGGGCTTCTTCCAGAGCTCGAAGCTCATGGTCAGAATACAGGCTTCTCTCTATCTCGATCTGGGAAGGTGGTAAGGACAGAAACCAGGGCAGATGTAACAGAGCTCTAGCACGCTCGACCGGCTCATGCACCACTGTGCCAACCCAACCAGATGAACACACAAAATACCACATGCAGAGGCGGCAGAGCACAAGAAAAACAAAGGTCGCCTGAACTGGGGGCTTGAGTGGGCCTGGGCATCCAGAGCAGAAGCCCTGCCTGTGCACTCAGCAAGCTCCAGCCACATCAGCCTGGACCGCCTCACCAACTTTACACATCATCTTCCTTCTTCCTAAGGGTCTGTTCCTCACACGGTTCCTGGGAGATTCTTACTGGTACTCCAGACCCCCATTTATATACCATTAAGTATTATTCAGCTATCAAGATGTTTCTTGATGGCTACCAACACTGAGCTAATAAAGTCCTGGGGCTGCAGTCTGCAAGGTCAGCAGTTTGAAACCACCAACCGCTCCATGGGAGGAAAATGGGCCTTTCCACTCCCGTAAAGAGCCCCCGTCTTGGAAACGCACACGGGTAGCTCTATCCTATTCTAGTGTATCTTTGCATTGCAACAGACTCGATGGCAGTGAGTTTGTTTGAGTTTGGTTTACTCTTGTGACTCCCACAATGATTGGGCGGAACTATACAACTAAGATGCTTGTGGCTCAGCCCGGGGATTGGACAGCCTGCTGATAGTGCAAATTACGTGCATGGAACCTTCCTTCATGGGAGTAGGAACATGTGAATAAGTGTATAGGACTCTAACAAGGGGTTTGGTCAGTTTTGCCATCCCATTAGGCTGCCAGAAGCAGCAAAGGTGACCACCATACAACCAAGAAGAACCAGGAACCAAGCATGTCCTTTGAACCTGTACTGAGACACGTCTAGACCCCGGAAACAGAATGACAAGCTGTAACACCAGAGAAGGCACAGAAGGCAAGAAGTGGTAGCAAGCCTAGCAGAGAAAGGACAGCAGAACCAGGAGATAGCATGGTAGGCTTCATGGCCCTAGGACTGAGGTGACTACAGTGGACATGCAGACCCCCAGAGCCAAGAGCTGAGGGCCTTCAGGTACGAGGCTTGCTGGCCAAGCACTCCATCTGTGGGCACTCAGTGGAGCCATCAACCTGAGTGATGGAGTGAGAACCACTGGACTCCCAGATTTACTGGTTTGGTTGGGGGCCCCTGGGCTCTTACTGACAGAGCTAAAATTTCTGTGACATTTTCCAGAGTAGCAGGAGTCCTGCATGGCCTAGAGGAGCTAAGAGAGCTATCCTGCCCAAGAGAAGGGCGACTGCCTATAGGCTGCCTGAGCCTGATCCAGAATTGTAGCCTGATCATCTCAAATGGCCACCAGTACCTTCCTTAAGGGGTATCACTGAGCTCTCTGTGACCGCTGCCCCAGCAGAGCAGAGCGTGCCATGGGAGCGATGTGGGGCAGATGGTGTCCGAATTAGTTTAAAGGAGGTTGGAGAGAGGAAATAGGCTTGGCCTCTGCCTCACAGGAATCAGCTATGAGTTGATGTTGATGTTGACTTTGATAATGACTATCCCCCTCCTGAAAGTTAAATGATGAGGTCTGACACCACCACATCATTTTCACACTATCAGAAAGTTCAAATAAGGCATCCCTGCTAAACACTTACAGTACTTTGTACTCTGCTTTACAACAAGTATCAGTGTCTGTAACTACATAACCTCCTAATTATTTGGTTACTGACTGCCAGCCCCACTTCCCCCATCCCCACTCCAAGAGAATGAAGATCTCTGAAAACCAGAGAGCGCTTTTTCCTACTACCAGAGTCTGACATATGGTGGATGACCAGTGGATATTTGGGATTGAGTAAATGAAAAACAAGGAAGAGAAATACATAGCTTTCAGTGGCCCAGGACACTAGCTTCTCAGACTGAAGGGAAATAGAACTTCCATTTTAATCTATGGGGACTTAAAAAACCCCGCACAGTCACTTCACCCCATTGCTACCCACGTCTTCTTCATTGTCCTTCATACAAATGCAAACTCCTAAGATAAAGGGCAGGCTTTACCAAAGGCATCTTAGAGATGCGTCCTCCCGGTACTTGCTTCTTCCTAACACACATCATAACCAAACCAGACCAAATTCATGTCATCAAGTCAACACCGACTCACAGTGAACCTATGGGGCAGGGCAGCTGATGGTTTTGAACTGCTGATCTCAGCCCACCGTGGAACCACTGTGCCATCAGGGCTTTCACATCACAAAGCCTTTCTGTAAGCTCCTTCTGATAGCACCCCGGTCAGTCTTATCTGCCACCACGGTCCTAGCACGCTGAATGAACCAGACAAACGTCTACAAGTCGTTAGCTAAAATGACAGTCATGAAAGCCAAAGGCTATTTCGTAGGTACACCAACTCAGTTAAGTGGTTGGCCTTTCACAGGTAAGCGCACCGACGTCGAAGCAGCACTGATGGTGCAGTGGCTAAGCTCCCCTGCTAACCGAAATGTCAGCCGCTCCGTGCGCGCATGCATCACGGCCTAAAAAACTCAACGGTCCAGTTCTACTGTTACACGGTGGGTAACGAGGAGTCGAAATCGATTGACGGCACACACTGAGAGAGAGAAAGTCACATCCCAAAGGCCAAACAAAATAACTGGGACTGGAATGGGGACTAAACCCAGACCGGACTGGACTGCTTCCACGCATCACCTCGAAATCGGAGTCCGCGCTTCGGCCCTACCTGCTTTAGCAGCGCAGCCATCTCCTCCTGCACCGGGGTCAGCGGCTTCGAGACCAGCGGCGGCCGCTGCAGGCACAACGCACCCAGCAGACGCCATGGGGAGCCTCTGGGAGACGGGGCGGCCTCGACGGCCAAGCCGCGGACACCCAGCAGGCCGGCCGAGCGCCTCTCCAGCCGCCACCAGCGCGGCGCCACCCGCAGCAAGGACCGCCTCGCAGGCGCCGCCATGTCCCCATCCCCCACAATGCACCGCGGCGCCCGCCAGCCAATCGCACGTTCCCACGAGCCAACGCGGCGGCGGCGGCCGCGGCCGCTGGGGTTGCCGTCGGAGCGAACCATTCCAAAATAGAGGGGCGGACGAAGATCTTGTCACGTGAGCCGCAAGAGCAAAGAACGTCCAGTCCCCGCTGGACAGTGAAAGCATGGGTTTTTGTAAGCATGTCGGCGTAGTGGGTCCCTTTCATTGTGATTATAAATAACGACGTGAGTGGTTCTCCTTTCGTGACCCCCCCCGAGACATCAGTGGTGCTGGCGCCGCTCCAGCTGCGCTCGGCGGACGGCGCGGACGAGCGCACGGGCCCAACCAAGCCATGCAGGCTGTGCGCCGGGCGGGCTCCCGGCTCCTGCGGCCGTGGGTTCGGCCCCAGACCCCCGGGTGAGAATGACTGCCCCTCAGAAGCCGCACCACCTCCGAGGCGCCGGCCCTGCGCGGGGCCCGTGGGCCGTCGGCGCCGTTCTCACCGAACTTTGCTTCTCTGCAGGGCCGGGAGCGCGGCGCCCGCCCGGACGACCCATGCGAGCGGCCCGCAGCTGCAGGGCGCCGCGGCGAAGGTGGAGGCTGAGGAGAAAGCCGGGGCCCCGAGCCGCGGCAGCTTCAGGTGAGGGCCTCCCGAGAGCAGCATCCCCGGTTTGCTGCCGGTCGCTCGCCCGCCGAAGGCAGAGACCCGGTGGTTCCCCAACTCTGCAACTCGCCCCTTTGCATGACCTTGGGTCTAGGAAGCCAGACGTGTCGCGCTTCAAAAAGGGGGTGGGGCCGTGGGAAGTTGGGAGCATCAAATGCAGTGAGCCCGCGCTCCAGGTAATGCTTGTTGGACGCGTGTAGGGAAAAACCGCTGGAACTCACTTTAGCTGAACGTCCTTCCCTGCGGCAGACCCAACGTGGCGGGGAGTCGGGGAGGTGTGTACAGAGGCGCACCCCCAAACGATGGAACATGATCGTAGACAGGTAGTTCACGTCCAGGCTGGTGGTTGTCCTCAGCCAGGGGACAGCGAGGGCAAGTGCCTCAGCCTACTGCAAATGGACATGGCATGCACTTAAAGACTGAGAACCCACTGTGCGTCAGGCGCCATGTGGGTTGCTGGAAATCCCAATACAAAAGATCGCTCCTCGCCTGGAGTAGCTCCCAGTCTGTTAGAGAAGGGGAACATGACAACAGTTGCCCGAGATAGACTCTGGTCGGAACGTATCAAAGAACGTGTCTTCTAACCACAAGGTCAGATCTGGCAAGAATATGCAGAAGACAAAGGGGAGTTGAGGATTGAATTGAATGGGAGTTCAGCTAGGCAAGATGAAGCGATCGTTTTAAGTGAAGCCACCCGTTGAGTGGGAATGTACACGCTGTCTCCAGGGACGACGTGAGAGATGGGAGCAGCAAAACCATATCGAGAGTCGTTCCTGAATCGTTGTATTCCCACCGTAGGAAGTGGGGAGCTGCAGCAGGGGTAAACTCAGGATTCCGTGGTCATCTTTCAACGATGCCAGGCCCTGTTCAAGATGCTGGGGCTACAGGGGCACTCAAAAAGACAAGAATCTTTGCCTCCTGCAGCTACTAGGTGCTAGTAGGGATAGCAATAAATAACCCAAAACCCACTGCCACTGAATGGATTCCAGCTCATAAACTGTCACTGAATCTATCCTGGCTCGGAATGACCCTATGGAACAGAGTGGAGCTGCCCCTGTGGGTTTCTGAGGCTGTAAATACCAATAGAAGCAAAAAGCCCCATCTTTCTCCCAAAGAGAAGCTGGTGGTTTCAGCTACTGACCCTGTGGGTAGAAGCCCAGCGTGCAGTTCACTAGGCCCCGGGCTCTCTCAGTGACTGAGGCTGTAAGTCTTTACAGCGACCAAAAGCTTCCTCTTTCTTCTGTGGAGTGGCTGCCAGGTTTGAACCACTGCCCCGGCAGTGCCTCCGGGGCTCCTTGACAGGAAATAAAGAACAAGTCACCATGGTCATAGGGGTGATGGGAAGCGAGGCAGGTGTTTGCAGGGAACAGCAGGAAGGAATCCAGCTACGGTGAAAGCCTGTCGGAGAAGGGAGACTCCGGCGGTTATCACAGGTGGAGGAGCAGGAGTGGTTGCTCAGGGGCAGTGCGTGTGTTAATGGTGGTGGAATCATGTGGAAAAGGATGTCAATGACGGTTGCACAACACAAAGAGTATAATCAATGGCACTGAATTATACCTGCAGAAGTTGTGGAATAGGAGAATGTTTTTTTGTTTGGGAGGGGGTTTGTTTGTTTGAAGAATGTTTTGTTGTGTATATTTTTGCCACAAAGAATTACAATGAATACAAGAAGAAGACATGTTTGCAAATTGTGATAATGATTGTACAACTCTTGATAGGCTTGAGTTATCGAATTGTATGGCATGTGGATCAAGCGCCAATAAAACTTAAATAAAATAAAGTTCCTGTTTAGTGTCAAAAAAAAACAAAAACCCTCAAATAGTTCCCACTACTGCGAGAGGGAGGGCATCACGTCAAAGGCAGGAAGCTTGGAAGCCCAGAAGAACAGGGCAGCCCTGTGAGGATCAGGCCCTCACAGGCTCCGCTGTAGTAGGAATTAGGAGGGGAGAGCAGACGTGGGCTGCCGTGTCCCACGTGGCGTCTTTGACCATCCTTTCTTGCCTGGGGTTCTTCCACAATCTTCTCAGTGTAGCTGACCGCCCCCTGCCTCCATCCTGCTCCCCTCCAGTCCGTTCCCATAAAGACTGACAGCCTCAGAAACAATGTGCCGCAAGTCTACACTCTGCTCTTCCAGAGACACTGCGAGTTGGCAACGACTCCGTGGCAGTGGGTTTTCGGATTTGGGAGGGTCCAAACCAGAATCATTTCTGCCCGTGGACAGATGGAAATGGTACGTGCCCTCTCAAATGCTGACTGGCATCAAACACCCATGGGTTTGAACAGAAGAAGGCTCAGCGTGGTGAACAGAACTTTGAGCAGGTCTCCTCGATAGAAGGCCTGGCTCCCTGGCTGACTCCTCCCCGTGCACCTTTGCTTTTCTACCTGAACGTGTGCTTACTAGGGGTGGCCAGAGGACAGGCTGGGCCAAGCTGGTGAAAGATTTTGAACTTACACAGACCCAGATGCCCTGCCCATTGCCACCACGTCAGCCCCAACTGGTAGCCGCTCTCTCAGGCAGAGCAGAGCATCCCCATGGGTTTCTAACCCTGTAACATTTTTCTCCCATGGAGTTCCTGGCAGATTGGAACTGTTAAGAATTTAGTGCACTACCGCTGCATTACCAGGGTGCTTTCTGATTCACCAAGAGTGTTTGTAGCAGGCTCCCAGGCCCCACCCTGCAGCCTGGGGTGTGGCGCAAGCTGGCACAGGTGGTTCTTAGGCTGTGGAGAACCCCTGGTCCGATGCAGAGTTCAGGCAGCTGATAGGCCAACTGATGAGCTCAAAAACCCCGCAAAACTCCCTGCATCAAGTTAATGTTGACTCATAATGACCCTATGTGGGTTTCCAAAGCTGTTTACAGAAGTAGAAAGCCCAGTCTTTCTCCCGAGGAGTTGCTGGTGGTTTTGAACTGCCAACCATGCAATCACAGCCGACAAATAACCACTACAGCACCAGGGCTCCGTAAGTGATGGGCTGGGTCTGGCCAGTAGACACAGCCTGTCCTGGGGCCCCGCCACACCTGTCTGTGCGCCTCTGCCTGTTGCTGCTTCCCTGCGTCAGGCTCGAGTGCTGTGACATTTGCCACCAGGCCCCACCAAACTCTGCTTTCGGGGAGACTGAGGGGTTGTTTGTTTGTTCATTTTAATGTGTGTAGTTATGACAACAATTTCAATGATCTTTTATTGTTTATGAAGTGGAGAGTCAGAATACTGTTTGTGGATGATGAAAGGAAATGGGGTCATGATTGTGGGGGTTTTTTTAAGTTGCAAGCAGAGTAACCTACAGAGGACTGGGAAATAGAGGAGGTGGGCTTTGTGAACGGAATTCTCCTTTTCCATAGCGCAAGTCCCTAGATTAGTCCAGAACTAGCAAGTCAGGAAAGAGCCTCACCGGCCCAATGTTTAGAGGTAGCAGGGTGCAGGCAACTACCCCTTAAAGCACGTCCGGGGCAGGGGTTTATGGTGGTCCATTCTGAATTCTCCCGACCCTTAGGAGTTTTGTTTTTCCTTCATAAGCATCTGCTGTGTTTCTTTGCTTTAAAAACTAATGAGTATGCCATTGTAAATAAAATCATTTCTAATTGCAGCATTTACCCTCCATTTCCCGGAGAGGAGAGCTCGCTGAGGTGGGCAGGAAAGAAATTTGAGGAGATTCCAATCGCACACATTAAGGCCTCCTACAACAAGTGAGCAGGCCACCCTGCCGGCTGGGGCGGGTTGGGTCTGGCCAGCAGTGGCTCTCTTTACCCTCCTGGGAGGGGCATGGTAAGGGCTAATGTGGAGAGCCCCAGGCTCCGTCCTTTTTATTGTGGGGGAGAGGGCGGGGAAGGACCGCATTCTGCCTTTTTAAAAGCATTCGTACAAGTGTGAAATAAAATGGGAGTATCGTAAGATTTCTTCTCTTTCCTTGGGAATAGTACAAGGGGGCTTAAAAAGTCTGGGGAAATTCTGTCTTTCCACCCATCTTTCCACAAACTTTCTGAAGCCCCTCCTATTTCCTGGTGCTGGTCCACACACGCGGCAAGGGTTCCTCCCCAGGTGAAGGTGGTCATTAGCATTACGCAGCTGTGGGGCAAAGGGCAGGTAACAGAAATAAGATGTGAGACACAATTTGGGAAGATACAGTTTGTCACCAAGAAACCAGGAGGGGGCAGGTCCAGCTCCACGTCACTGTCATGCGGGTCAGTGTTGGGCCCCAGAGGAAGTGTGTGCCTCTGTGCACCAGACCAGATGCCTCCGGGATCATATTCATATAAAACCCAACGGGCGGCCGTGGCCATGATCTTTCTTCCCTACCCAGGCTTTTTGAAAAGGAAACAGTGAGCTTTCTGTCTCTTTGAGCAGTAGCGATCTCCTGCACAAACACAATTCCTTCTGTCCCCAGCACCCAGATTCAGGTCGTGTCTGCCACACACCAGCCACTGGCCCAGGCATCCTGTGGCACAGAGGGTTTCCGAAATGCCAAGAAGGGCACCGGCATCGCAGCACAGACCACAGGTATCGCCGCGGCAGCGGTAAGTGGCCCCCTCGGGGGGCATACTGCTCCCTCTCTTTTGGCCCATGTTCAAAGCAGCAACAGGGTGTCCATCCACGCAACGCCAAGTGCTTTGAAGAGGCCTGTGCGGTGGCTGCCTTTTGCTCTCAGCTTCCTTATAGCAGTGGGACTCACAGGGTTCGTTCCGGGGGATCCAGGAACCCAGGCCCCGACGGCTATACACCCAAAGCCAGGGACTTGGTGACACACCGTCAGGAGAGTGTGGGATGGGATGGTGAAGACTAGGGCCTGACCAGCATGAGCGAGAGCTGTTGCCATCACGCCTTGAAGCCCGTTGACAGTATGCTGCTTCTGGTGTATTTATTGTGCATCAGCTGGGGGTGGGGAGCACTCTGTACATGATCTCTAATCCACAAACCAAACCTGTTACCGGCAGGTCAACTCTGACTCTCAGTGCCCTCAAAGGACAGAGCAGAACTACACCACAGGGCTCCCAGGACCCTAAGTCTTTGTAGAAGAGGAGTGCCCCATCTTTCTCCACAGAGAACACCGGTAACCCAGCGCTTCACCACTGCGCCACCAGGGGCGTCCACGTTATTCACGTTTTCACAAGGCTTCTAGCCCGGCCTGCCCAGTTCACTCAGGGCCAGGGAGGCCAACCCCGAGGCCTGACTCTTGAAGTGTGGGCGAACAGGGACGCTGCATGGGGTAGGAGAATTAGTCAGCGGCCCCATGCACATGACATAGCAACCAGGCCTCATGACGGGCACAGTAGGAAACCCTGGTGCCCTGCTCAGAGGGGGCAGCTAGCCACAGCCTGCTTTGAACAGGTGTTGCTCTCCACAGTCCTGGCAGTGGCCCAGTCAGTCTCCCACATCAGGCCCCGCCCTGCCCCTTTGCCGGGTCTCCCACTCGGGCACTGCCTTCTACCTAGACTGGCGTTCACGCATTCCCCTTCACCCACTCTGGAACACGTGAGACTGCTGGTTGCGCATCATCAGCGGTGGCTCCTTGAGATGCAGCACGTGGGACTGGTTAGAGTCCTGCCCCTGACCAGTTCCACTTTCTGTCTGAGCCCAGCTGTGGTCCCAGGCACCTGAGCTTCCCCTGCAGCCCAGGCCTCTCCAATGCTCCACGCACAGGCACTGCCTACCAGGGGGCTTCCCAGGGAAATGCCCCATGTCAGTGATCTCCACGTTGGGAACTTTCTAGCTGGCCAGCGGAGGCCAGAGCAAACATTGCTAAAGGAACTGTGTCCCTGTTCGCAGCCACCTCTGCACGGTGGCTGATGGGTAAATCCTGTGCATTTTCCAGACTTCCTATCATTACTTGCTTACATAATCAAGAACAAGGATGAACGACAGAGATTTCAGATGGCAAGAGAACACACTAGCTGGGTTTTCAGGCCCAGGCTTGAAAGTCCAGGGCACCTCCTGAACCTTGAATTCTGTGTGGTAACCCCTGGGAAAACACAGGCAGTAATTAGAATTTGCCGCTAGGTGGCAGTGTTGCCGCGGGTTCCCTGAAAACCAATCCCACCTAGGCAGAGGCGGTTCCAACTGGAGCCACGATGTGCAGGGCTTCTAGGCCGCCATTCGTTATGGGGCAGGCGGCCAACCACCGACCTGGCCAGCACCACCAGGGCTCCTTAGAGAGCCCCCTGACGCGAGGTGGCTGGCCACCCCTGTGTACCCAAGGACTGCTCTGTTTTCCATGGCCGACTGTTCAGCAGTAGATCTGCAGGCCTTTCTTTGGAGCCACCGCAGGGTGGACTCAAACCTGCAACCTCTGGTCAGCAGCCAGTGCCCGGGTGCCTGGCCCAGCCTCCTTTAATTCCAGGGCTCCCTAAGAGTTCCATGGTCTCTCTGTCATCTGCCTCTGTGTATGTCTGGCCACCCATTCAGCTGCCCATGTGTGCCGTGTGTCTGGAGCTTGTAACCCTGTTGCTCTAGATGACAGCAGCGCATATTTGGGTATAGTGGTTCCCTCAAGGGAGGGAGGCTGCTGCTCCCGCTGGTTAATCTTTAGGCTGCTAGCTGTGAGGTTGGCAGTTTAAAGCCACCAGCCACTCTCAGGGAGAAAGCTGAGGCTGTCTGCTCCAGGGAAGCCTTACGGCCTTGGCCACACTGAGGAGTTCTGCTCTGCCCTTAGTGCCCCTACGGGTCTGGACCATCACCACAGCCAAAGGTTAGGGGTGGTTGGCCTGGGGTACTAACTGATGACTGCTCTTTCTAGAAAGCTACTGGGAAGGGTGTGACCCACGTCCGAGTCGTGGTGAAAGGCCTGGGGCCCGGGCGCCTGGTGAGTGCATGACCCAGCTACTCTGCCGTGTGTGCTGCATCCTGGGCGGGGAGCCAAGCCTGGAATGGGCTGCCAGGCTGGCCGGGGTCTCCCCTTGGTTCTTTAATCTCTCAGCCTCTCAGAGCATCCACCAGACACTTCCGGAGTGCTTGCAGCCTGCCAGCCCCACCCAAGCAGAGGATGGCCTCTGGGGACCCACGTGGGTGGGACCCTGAGTTCAGACCAGCGGGGACAGTGCGAGCATGTGCTTGGGTGGGCGAGGGCATCTGGAGAATGAGGAGGTGAGGGTGAGCGAGGAGGCAAGGTCACAGCAGGCAGAGGAAAGTACACAAGCCACTGGTGCTGTGGTCCTGGAGGTTCTGACCCGACCTTTCCTCCATCACTGGGACCCGGTTTTCAAGCCGTGGCCTTCCGGAAGCAAACCACCACCAGGCCTTTCTTCTAAAGTGCATCCCAAGGGGTTTGAACTGCGGGCCTTTCAGCTGGTAGCCCAACACTTAGCCCTAGGCCTCCACTGCCACGGTGGGCAAGGCTGCAAGGGCGACAAGGCCAGGGCAGTTGAGGGGCGGGCCTGCAGGTGTGGGTGGAGACCAGGGTTGGCAGTTGGGTTGGATGGTAAAGACCAAGCCCTCCCGAGCCCTGTCTCCTCTGCCTTCCAGGCTGCTATCAAAGGGCTGGCCATTGGCGGCCTGGAGGTGATCTCCATCACAGACAACACCCCCATCCCACACAACGGCTGCCGCCCCCGCAAGGCACGAAGGCTGTGAGGACAGGAAGCCGGAGCCTGAGCAGAAGTCGTATCCAGCAGGGCCTCGCCAGAATGCTGCTCTCCAGAGGGCGTCTGAGAGGCAAGGGAACAGGACTCGCCTCCTCATGCGGCATCCTTTGCCTCTCCTTCGGCGCAGATGAGAGACTAGGCCGGGCCTGCACAGGAGGGGACAGCTAGGGCCCAGGCGCCAAGCAGTAGACATTGCTTCTCCAAAAAGAAATAAAAGTATGTCCCTGCCACATGGCATAACCTGTGAGTCTGCTTCCGGAGGGGTGCCAGTCCTATCCCTCCCTCCCTCCCGCAGCGAGCTAGATGGGGAGTTCACATGCAGGCGCGGGCTGATGCTCTCCCAGCACCTTCCCCTGCGCTTCCAGCCACCCTCTAATCGAGGCATCCCGAGCTCAACAGAGCAGCTGTCTCACAGTTTGTGATTCAGCGGCAAGTGGAGAGTAGTTGCCCCCCACCTCTGGTACCCCAGAGTGAGATGTCTGAGCAGGGCTAGGGAACCCAGGTAGTGCTGACCCATGGGTGCCAACCCAAGACTCCTTCACAGGAGCTTTGGGGGGTCAAGGGCCTCAGAAACTTTCAGAGGCAGAAACCAGAGCACTAGGGACCTCGCTGCCCCCAAACAAAAGCAGGTCCAGGCGGAGAGGGGTGGTGGGTGGTTGCTTACAGGTCAATGCGGGGAGTGGCAGAGGGCCTCTGCTCTGCCCTAAACTCCCACAGGCACTCCACGCAGTGCCTTCCTCAGTAGGCAAGCAGCCTCGCAGAGCAGGGTTAGAGAAGGGAGAGACCACACCACATGGGAAAGAAGGCCGGAGGATCAGGCTTGTGTGGCAGTCGCCTCGGGAACCAGCCTCGGACTGATGGAGACACTGACGCCGAGTCTCCAATCCCCCGCCCCTCCCCTTGGAGGGAGGCTGCAGGAGGTGAGGTGCACAGAAGTGTGCCAAGGGTGAGAGGGACAATAGAGAGCCCACATGCCCGGTGCCGGAAAGAGGCCCCGCTGGAGGCAGTGGGAGGGGCAGCTCCACCAGTCCCCTCGGCTGACTTTAAACTGAAGTCAGCAAACCCAAGACTTGACCTGCCTTCCCTGCCCATGCCTGTGCAAAACCCAGCCGTGGACAGAGCAGGACCAAGGTCAGGACTGGACCTGAGAAATAGGCCCAGAGCTGGAGACACAGACAAGCCAAGTGCCCCACACCTGATGAAACCCTAGACCAAATGCATTCACAGCTCCCTCAAGACACACACACACATGCACGCGCCCCTGCTGCGTCAGGAGCTTTCCTTTCCAAGGAAACTGCTGTCCGCTTGCCAGTAGTGGTCTGTCAGTCTACTCTTTGACACATCCAAGCCACAAGGGTTCTTTGTGGAGGTCGGGTGCATGCAGGGTGAGGGGTAGACAGCCGTTACTGCCCTGGGTGGCGGGGAGGGGCCGACACAGGAGGAGCAGTGACCATGAGGGGTCTGGCCAAGACGGGAGAAACCGTCTCCTGCCCTCTGGCAGCTGCTTCTGGCTGTTCCGTGAGCTCAGCAGGAAGGGAGAAGGAGAAGGGTCACCGGCCAGTGTGCTCCAGGGCTCGGCCTCCAAGCCACGGCAAGGGGCAGGGCAGCTTCCGTGCTTCCCGGATGTGGACTCTGCACCGCTGGTTCCCGGAAGAGGACTGTGGAGGAGGGTCCTGCCCAGGAGGATCGGTGGGCCAGGGGGAGCCCCGGAGCTGAGCCTTCGTTTTTTGTGGTCCCGAGAAGCAGAACTGCCCCTCTTCACTCTGCTCTCCCTTCATCTTCCTCATTGCCAGGGCCTCTCAAAGCCTGGTCCCCCTGGGACACCCAGGCACTGCCTCAGTTTCTTAGTGTTGCTATCACAGTGCTACCACTAGGGGGTGCTTGTAGAGAACAGATGGTTATTTTCTCAAGGTAAACTGGCTAGAATCCTGGCTTCACGGCACCAGCTCTCGGCAAATGTTCCCTCTCTAGATGCTTGTCTCCACTTCTGACACCCCGCTTTTCTCTGCCCCTTGACAATCTCCACAAGGCACCAGTCTGTCCCGTGTGTGCTTGCTTGTCTGTCTGTACTTGCTGCACGGAGCCGCTTCCCACCCAGTGACTCAGATAATCTGTACCCTAGACTTTTGTTAGGTCTGCTTACATTTGAGTACACCTTGATGCAGCCAGTGTGTCGATCCACCTTGCTGAAGGGCTTCCTCTGGGCCACCTCTCCACTTTACCAAGCATCAGGCCCTTCTCCAGGGACTGCTCCTCTGACCACACACCCAAGGTATGCGAAACAAAGTCGTGCCTCGAAGGACCACTCTGCTGTATTTGTTCTTTGGATTGGCGGTCCTTGGTACTTCAATAGTCACCAGCACCCTAAACTAATAGGGCCTTTTTAACATAACAAAAAACTATCCCCAAGCAAGGTGACGTCCAGTGACATAGGGGTTGGAAGGCTAACAAACACATCGTGAGGGGCGTAGGGGGCGGGGGAGGACACACAATTCAGTCCCTAACAAGCACTTTCGTGGATAGCTGCCCGGTGACATCATCACTGACCTGGAATGCCAGCCGGCTGTCCCCTGCTGCCCTGAGCCCTCACAGCAGCAGGTCAAGTCTCGTTCTGTGCTTCTCCGAGGCTGCCCCACTCCCTTCATGTTTCCCATTCCACAAAGGACTTGCCCAAGCAGTGCGTCGGCCTCAGAGGAGAAATGTGGCTCCGTCTTTCCAGGCAGCAGGGCCTTGGGTGATTCTAGTCGAGTCTGCTTCCGTCAGCCCGAAGTCGGTGGCATCGCTCCGGCCCTGGAGTCCA